ACCATGACGTGTCCGAGGGAGTGATGGTTGCGTTGATTTCTGGTTCTTGAATCTTAATGCAATGATTAGGCTTTGCTCTTCCTTTGTTTCTTGCATCGCCATGGAATCCCCTATTTACCCACTACAGCCCAAATGACTTGAACCAACATGCTACGATTGGCCAAAGAAGTCGCAGTGGGGCTGTACACGCATGCCCTCGTTTCGTTGTGTTGCGATGGTCCCGTATCCTTTTGAATGGGAACATGATGTGCTTAGCCCTGATGTAATGCTCATGCATAATTCCAGGGCTGGAGACTTGTCGATTTCTTTTTCAGATGGTGTCGATGATCGCGACCCATTAATACCGGGCACATCGTCTGCTGTTACCTCGGTTAGCTCGATTCAAAGCTCATCAACGGCGGTGAAAACTGGTCAACAGCGGGACAGCGATGACATCAAAGCACATCTCGATAAACTAGCAAGAATTGCCGGACAACTCAGTCACCGTCATGCGGATTTCAATCCTGTTAGTATATTTTCAATTGTCCTTTATCTTCTTCTTCAAACGATATTTTATTTTGAATCGACTTTCAGAAACGGGACCGTGCATCTATTAACAAGATGCGTTCACAAATGAAGGAACTGCTCCGAAGGGTGAATGAAATCGAGAAGAAGGTTTGTGGCAGCGAATTTTCCCCAGGGTTTGAAGACATGTCGAATAAAATTTTAGGTCGGTAGTGGAGATGTGCGAGGCGAAGTGAGGCAGTTAATGCGCACTCTGGAAGAGATGAAGTGTGCCCTTGGAGAGGGCCCTGCCCCAAAATCGACGTCAGCTACGCCTATCCTTACAATGCACAATAAAACGCCGTTCTGGAACGAACATAACCAGGTGTATCAGGTACGAAGTTATCCATTTCGCAAACAACCGCTATTATAAATAGGCCATAGCTTCTGAAAGTAATCAAAACTGGCTGAGTGGGAGTTTGATTGGTGTGGTTGTTGTTTGTTGTTTGTTTTATGTTTGTTGTTGATGATCGTTCTTTTAAGCTCGATTTCGGTGGTCGTGTCACACAGGAGTCAGCGAAAAACTTCCAGGTAACCTCCTTCAAATCTTTTTCTATTTTGATTGGATGTGGTGCAGTTGAATCGAGATGGACGCCTTGCGGCGAGAGCGACGTTGCGCACGAAGTAATGCGGCAGAATGAATCAGAAGCAGCGCAGCCAGTAAAGTGTACAGGCACAAAAGTAACAGTAGAATCATGCCAAAAATAATAATCGCGTATTGATCGAACTGTATGAAGAACGCTAGAACTGCATTAACGAGGCAACTAGTCCGCGATTGCCGCGTGCGGCGTATCGATTAGACAAAATCGATTCAACAGCTCGTCTCCCTTAGCATTGGTT